GAAAGAGTTAATAAAGGGACAGCCTTTAACTTTTTTGCAGCCATTTAGAATTTCTATATAGCATTTATTTGAATACATTTAAACAAAAAAGAAATCTGAAAAAGAAATTAGTGGTTTTTTAAAGCATTTTCGAAATAAAAAAGTTTTTTGGCGGACTCTATTCATCGGTGTCACCACCGTTCATTAACTTCTTGTCCAAATGTATAACATATATACATATATATATGTACATATATATATATATACATATATATATATATATATATATATATATATATATATGTGTTTATGCACATATAATAAATTATAATTTATAATCTAGATATACATTGAAAATTTTGAGTTTGCCACACGCGGACCTCAAGTTTATCAATGTCAAAAGTTCATGAATATAAAACAAATATTTGTGTTTACACACCATATCAACTTAATTTGTAGCACAAACTATCCGAAATAATCTAATGGGATTGCCGTCATTATGCATATAATTTAACGTCTAATTGAAATAATATTTCTATCATTAATTTATCTTCGGAAATTAGCGAGTCGAAGCAATTTTTAGAGCAAATCATAAATTGCATATGCTTGATATGCAATGAATCACATGTACGAGTATATCCGCATATGAGAAAAACGTTTGAGATAAACTTTGCAAAAATATAAGCGACGATATCGTATAATAATAATACTGTGCACACAATTTTGAGATGAAAAGGGCACTATATTGGAGAAAAACGTCTGATATAAAATGCTAAATAAAAATGAAATTACTAAAAATACCTACTGAAAAAATACTGAACTATAAATTATGCAGTAGTATGTTTCCAATTAAAAATATTTCTGTTATGCACTGCATTGTTAAATTGCAATGGAAATTCTATCACACAATATTTTTTTGGTTTGATTTGGAGTAATATCAATTTGGAAACATATTGATATTTATATTTCCAAATGAAAACCAATGTCACTACTGCTTGCCATCAGGCTGCTCGAAGCTGGATCTAACCCAGGACCTCTGATTCAGACTCAGTGTCTCTAGCTACTTACCTACGAGAGACTCCTATATTAAATTATAAAAATTAAGAAAATTCTGACGGTTTTATGTAATAGTTATTACAGCACGTTATTGTTACTATTACATCAAGTTTTTTTTTAATTGAAATATGAATCGTTTGTTTTTCAAAAATGTTATAATGTCACATTCAATATTTTTTTATTATAGTCAGTAATTATTTATAGTTTAATTACTCACACATAGACCATTACAATAATTGAGGACAATATTTTCTCAGATAAACACGTCATATAAAAACAGTAACAAAAAACTTGAGCCGCAATCTCAACACCACAATTTTATTAATATATGAAGGATATTCAATTAATTAAAAGCTATCTTTACTTATGGTTTACGAAATTTAGTGACTGTGATATCAGACATCAATTTTTTTGTATGTTTGATAAAAGCAGACAAAATTATCAGTTATAAAAACTAAAAACTTAGCTCAGCACTAGATTGCGTCAAAATATGTTTATAGAAACCAGATCAGTTGTATGTTTTATGTAATAAGTGCAGATAAGTCAATTTTAAATGTCAATCTTTTTATCGAAGATGTTTGGTAATAAATTCTAATTTCAGAGAATTTATATTTTTAAATTCTGTAGAAGATAACGATACACTTAGTATCCGGAAACGAATGAGTATTTGTGTATTGTATCAAATGAACAATATGTCGTATATCAAATATAATAAAATGTGATAAAAAAGAGAATTTATCATAGGTATTGCAAAAAATAATGAAAAATATTAAATATAGGTCGATTGTTGGGTTACTTTCTAAAAATGCAATGTATATGGTTAGGAAGTTTAATCACAACATCTCTTGAAACTGTTAAGTTCTAATAATAAAAATATATACATTACAGTTGGGTTGCCTTCTTAAAAACAAAAATAAGAACTATTTAGTTTCGTTCGCCATTCAAAATGAGAAAATAAAAGTTATGAACATAATTTTGCATCCTACATCATATATAAATTAATTTAGCAGAATCTTTATTATTCCTGATATTAACAGAAGGGTTTGGTCTATATATCCTTTAAAATCTAATAATAAACGTTATTATGCATATTTACGGATATGTGGAGGCGCATTAGTTGACTTGTTAATTATTGGCAACCTTCAAAATGTCAAAATCGCATTTTGAGCTTGTTGTGACGGCAAGTTCTCCGTCATTATTTTCGATTCATTGAACACACACATTAGGGAAACTACTCGATTAAATGTTGGAGACAAATATGTGGAAAATTTATTTACGTATGCATAAATTAAATTCAGAGGGATGCTCTAAGAAATGTCTTAAATGCGTCATTCGAGATTTTAATAATATGACTAAACGTAATAGGAATTTGCGTATGTGATAGGTTGTTTAAGCTTAACCTATTTTTTATGTGTATGTTTTGGCAATATGCATAAATAGGAATTTTGATGGTTTTATAAATTTACTTTTACCATATGGATCTCATATATTATGTTTTGAATATATATTTTAAAATAAACAAAATAATTTTTAAATATAATAATCATAATACTTAACTATATATTTATATTTTTCACATATACACATTTAAAAAAAATGAAAAACTTTAACAACTTTAAACTTTGTAAGGAAGTACGACATATCAGTTATCTAAAAAAAAACATGAATTTTTGCAGTTATAACTTGGCTTAGGATGGATTTTTCAAAAAATATGGTAGTGCTTTTTAATGGCATCTTTATTTGATAAATTGAGTTTAAGAGCTACTTGATTTGACGTTTTTATAGATTGTTTGATTTAAACATCATAATTTATTTAATAAGTTTATCAAAGCTTTGTGAATTGTTTATTTGAATTATTATATAAAACATGTTTTTTATGATATCTAATAAAATTCAAGCACAATTGAACTTGAATATACCCCTGATACTACTTTGTCGCAAATTAGGAAATTGAAAAAAATGCGTGTGAATAGTAACATAATTAATATTTCTACAATCCGTTATAAAAAGTAATAATAGAATTTAAAAAAAAGATATTTTTAACGATTGTAGGATGTGGCCATACATTGTTAATCCACATAAGAAGAATTTTATAAAGTTACAAAATATTGTACATTCGATACAGATTCGACAAATGGTAAACAATCTGCTATAAAATTTATTCTTATAAATAATAGTTAACATTTTTTGATATTTAAAAAAAATAGTGTCATAATATAGATGTCCAGTTGTGATGAAGAACTAAATATTTAATTCCAAATAAAATGCCACATTTAATGAATTTATTGTTGTGTCGTTAAAAAAAATGCTTCCTAAATTAACTAAATGATCATTTAGTTAACTCATTCGAATGGGTTAAATAATCAATATAAAAAGAGCTCATATTGGCTAATTAATATGATTTTATTTCAAACTTTAGCTATTTACTTTAGTCCAAGAACTCATTTCCATTTTTCTAATATTTATTTATTAGCTGTTATACTCTGAAAACTATTCGTTTCACAATAATGTTCCTTGTTGGACACTAAAATAGAATGTTTGAATATATATAGTTCTATAAATAAAAACCACCTTTTTCATAAAATTACTTTATTATAATATATATTTTTATGTGTAGCACTGGTACAAAATTAACTGATTTATGCACCTATCAATAGAAAAATGAATTTAAAGAAATTTCATTTATGTGAAAAATATATCATGGTATTCTAATTTTATTAAAATATTCTTATAAAAGAGAGGAGGACATTGTGGATGAATAATTATATTTATTTTATATCATCTAATTTTGTTGAATACAAACTGCAACATTGCAATCTTAAGAAATGGATTTTATTATAAATACAATTTTAAATTTATCTATTTCTTAATGTCGTATCTCCTCATTCTTTTATACAAAATTTTTTATTTGTGTTTCTGCATATATTAAACATTTCATTTATAAATAACATTTAATCCACTTAAACATTTATATCTAGCTTTTTGTATATTTATATGCTTTCTTTATCTAATCCATCAGTTTTCCAAACATATAAAAATATTTATATATTTTACAAAAAACTTTCTCGAGAATTGCCCTTTTTCTAAAACTCTATAAATTTTTGTACAAGGCACCATATATCATATCATATATAATTTTGTAGAAATCGTTATTTTTACATAATAAAGGAAATCTGGAAGATTAAAATGACTTATACTAGTAACTGGGTAGAACTATAAAGAAGTGACAATAGGAATATTTTCAAATTTCAATAATTTATGCGATACGGTATTTTAACTTAGCAACATTATACTAATTTTCTATCAAATCCAATTTGAGTTGAATTAACGTAAATTAAAAATATTTATTTTTATAAACGAGTTATATTAAGTTCACAGCTATCAAAACTAGTTTCATACCACGCTGAATTTTAAAAGCAATAATTTTGAAAATATTTAGTATACATTAATTTTGTATTCACTGGAATGAAACTTAACGCATCTATAAGTATACTTCTGAAGTTTTTAATTTTTATTCGTATACTATATGTAATATAATAGCCTTCTCAAAATGATAAGAAACCATTTCTTTATATTTTTAACAATCAGTCTAAAGGCTATGCTCTTATTATTTATTATATTTAATACCCAATAAAATAGAAGGAATCTTGCAACAAAAATAGAAGGAATCTTTAACTAAATATAATAACACATTTTATGAAACGTAATTTGCGCAGGAAGTAGATATTGTTGTATAAGAGTAAGATACTCTTTATTGAAAATTGCATAAAATCTTTATAATAAAATTAACGAATATAAAAAAATTAGCCCTTCTATCGAAGGTATGCAGAATTCCCATCAAAAATTTATTCAGCCCAGTATGAAACTTTTCTCTATAAAATATAAATATACAATATAAATATTTATAATAACACAAGCATATTACATAACTGTACAGCACATTAAAAAAATTGGTTCTCTGTTAGCTATGACAATCCCGCTGATTGTTCTTCAATATCTGATGCTGCTGCTCTTTGAGGATTCAAAGAATAAGCGGCACTACGAGTAATTCCACTATGTACACTATTACTACTTCTATATTCTGTATTGTGCCTTAAAGATGTCGCATCAACAACAGTTCCATCTAAACTATCTACAAACATGGGTTCAGGTTCAGGCCTGGGTCTGTCTGTTCGCTTCAACTTCTGTTGATCACTTGCATTTTTGGAATTTTTACTTTCTTTAGTATTCCTGCTTTTTGAGTTGGCAGATTTTTGATGAGCTTGCTTACTCCCTGAAAAACTTTTCGACCCTTGCGTTGGCTTCGAGTCCTTTACCACTTTGGACGCTTTAGCTGTAGGTGTTGCTCTGATGTTCATCTCAGGTTTCACCGGGATGAATCTATCACCACCGAATTCACGTATGTCTACTTCCATGAAAGCTTCCATGTTTTCTATTTTTTCCGGAGTTGTGCGGAGTTTGACGATTTTGTTCTGAACAATTTGGAGATGGCGTAGAATGTAGTCTTCTTTGGGTGCCATGCGATGGGCATGTTTCAGGCAAGATTGCGCTTGCATGAGTTTGCCTCGTTCCACGTACACCACACATAAGTTGTGCAATCCTTGGATATTCACTGGATCCAGTTGCAGAATCCGTTTGTAACACTATAAAAATCAAAACAGAGATCAATCAGTGAAAAAACTTATTTAGAATCTAATTATATCAACGAAATCCAGTAAACGTTGTGTGATTTGAGCGGCGGTAGCAACCTGAAATCCACAAGCGCTGTGACACGCATGTGGAATCTATGTGGATTTCAGATTGCTACCGCCGCTCGGTGTGTTTACTGGGAATGTTATGTGAGCAAACAGAAACTCTGCAACAAAGGCTAATAAAATGACATATTTGCGGTTAAGTTTATAGAAATCAAGTTCATGTAGCCATTTCGTAAATTTAAATTAATAAATATGACAATAATTGTTCAATTCTTGAAGCTATGCCTTCTAACTATAAATTACTTAGCTATGACCTATTTTTATTTCTAACTTTCAATAAAATACATTAAAAGTATAAAAAATAACATTTTGAGTATTAGATAAGTGTCCATTATATTCATTCTACTCAGTAAAGAAATGATATTAACACAAACAAAATCAATTGCCATTGAGCAAATAATACAGAATTTCCAAAACCTTTTTGTTCTTCTACAAAACACGAATAAAAATCATAATTTTTTGCACTCAACCTGCTATCTGCTTTAGTACTTCATTATTAAGAGCATTACGAAAATCAAAGAAAAAAATATTAATCCCACATTTAATTTTACTAAAATCTATTTTTTACTTACACTTTCCGCTGCATCTAGATCACGTATATTATTTATATAGATATCTCCAAGCAATATCAATCCTTTTGCATGATCAGGATGATGTCGAACTAACTGATTTAGGAAAGGTGCAGCTTCCAAAGGTCTATGGTCATCAGCCAACAAAAGCGCCAAATTGAACAAAGCACTTCGGAAATCTGATTTTATGTGGACAGCTCTTCGGAACCAATTTTCGGCATCTGCAATATTGCGTTCATCCATCGACAACATTCCTAAATTAAAATGAACTCGTTCGTTGTTTTCTGAAAAAAAATAAAAATTAGAAAACAGAAATTCGAAGAAAACAATAATCTCCAGAATTTAATGAAAAATATCAGTTTTAGATTTTTTGATAACACAACTATACAGTTGGTAATTTCTGATTCGAAAATTCCATTCTACTTACCATCTTTTGCATGCAATTTTAGCAACCTTTCTCTAGCAATTGGACGGAATTCTTTCTTGCCTAATTCTTGAAGCAATATTGCCGAATTTAATAAAGCTTGTTCGTGATCCGGATCAAACTCGAGAGCTTTATCCAAATATGCTAAAGCTTGCGGTGCTTTTCCTTGCTCTAAAAATACCACACCCAACTGGAAATATAGTAATAATCTTTAGTCCTTTGAACATTTAAAATAAATGTGTTCGGGTGGAATAATAATTTAATAATTATAGTTACATTATAGTATATATCAGGATTACTGCTGTCATATAATAAAGCACGTTCATAAACTTCTTGAGCTTCTAATGTCCTGTTGAGTCTTATTAAAACATCACCTCGGTTTATGTAAGCTTGTGTGTAATCAGCTCGCATACTGATAGCCTGAAATAATAAAATTCATGTAATAAAATATATTACTATATATAAGTAGATATATATATAAACTCCATTTCACTTCCATTTATTCAGGTTATTAGACAAAATTGAATTTTTGAGGTGAAGATTTGTTCGTTGAGCTTTAAAACTTCACATAATATTATTCATTTCATACATATGTTAAAGAATTAATGCATAAAAAATATTATGGATATATTTAATAAAAGATTTTGTTTTTTGTCTTGTTTTTTGTATTTTATCAATAATAAAAAATTGGATCAGTTCAATGTTATACAAGACTCTTTGGATTTAAAAATTTAATGAAATTGCATCTCTGGTCTCAAACTACAGTAACATTATAAAACTAAAATTACTTCAATGCAAGATTTTTAATTTTCAAATCATCTTTCAATTATAACTTTCATGCACTTGTTTCACGAGAAGCCAGAGGTTTGGTGGAAATTTCTGGCAATTCAGTCAATCATAATGTTATGATTTTTATAATTCAGAACTATTTTATAAAAATGATACTTAGATTCTATATTATGTCTTATTATTAGGTAAAACATAAGTCTAATTATCAAAAATATATTTTCATTTGTATGACGTTTTTTTAGTAAATTTACCTGGCGGTACAATAAATCTGCTTCTTCAAGTCTAGTTGTATTCTTGGCAATCAAATTCGCGAGATTTAAAAATACGCTCAAATGATTTGGTGGTATCCGAGCTTGGTAACTTTCTCCTGGTTTTGCTTTTGGTAGTAATTCTTTGGCTCTTAAATAGGCTTCTTCAGCTTCTGTGAATTTCTTAAGATGGTTGTAAGTTCGACCTACATTTATATGGGCACCAACATCGTCTGGTTGGACGCTCACAGCAGTATGGAAGTAGTGTAGAGCTTCTACATAGCGACCCTGTAATTATTATATTTTGTCAGTTTATTTTAATATAGTAAAGAAAATGAATTATTACCTAATCTATACCTACAACAACTGAAAAGCGATAATAATGTTTGAGAATCATTTGAATTAAACATTACAGAATAGTAAAAAACAATAGTTAGGAACTATGATTCCAGCAAGAACGTTTTTTCGAAAGAGCTTATTCAGAATTATCTTGTATAAATTAAACATATAATGAGTATTATAATTTATATAAAAAATTGATATTTAGATACTTATTAAATGGATTGATTGAAAAAAACTGCTACGTTAAGCAATCTGATGAAATATTAAATTTGCTATAATAATAAATTTCAAAAATCAATTTACCTGTGATTCAAGAGCGTGTCCCACATTATTGAAGAGCTTTGCATTATTCTGATTAACCTTCAGTCCTGAAAAAAGTAAAATTATCAAGTATTAGAAACGATCTTATGCATTGTGAATAAGCTTTGATACTAGATGTCTTTAATCTTTTTAACAAATAGAGTTTTCCAAAAATAGAATGTGATTTTGAAATCTCAATTATGCTTTTTTTTTAAATAAATGTTTTTTTTTCAAAATTTTTATTTGTTTTATTATTCAGTTACTAACGTGTTTTATAATATAAATTTGATATTAAAAATTATGGCACTAATTTATTTTTATTTAGAATCATAATATTAATCTTTTAATGTTTCTATTTGTTTCAATTCTTGTGTTATTAATGTTTATAAAAAAATATTCAATATGAGTTGTTATTTCCATTCTAAAAATTAACAACTCTTATTGCAAATCATATTCTACATGGCATGCATATACGCATTCTCGTATTTTAAACTTATAGAAAAATCATGAATACATCACATTTATGGCTTGATCATAAATATAAATTCTGATTTATAGGTCATATTAATTAGATACTTTATACAATAATTGTTCTAAATATTCTGTATTTTTTCCTCACCAGCCATAAAAATGGAATACTCCGACTCCCAGTCCCAGTTTCTCCGATGTGTTCTGATTGCGTGAGCTGCAAGAGTGGCAGCTAGAAGCCACCAGGCCAACTTCCGTCCTGGTAGCAAATACCAGCCATAGCCCACAAGCATGCAGAAACCCATGGATGGCATGTAGAGTACTCGTTCGGCCACCACGAAGCCCACGGGGAAGAAGAGGTTCGATGCAGGTAGGAATGGTAGGGCCATGAACGCCAAACCCTGGGTAAGTGAAATTTATAAATATCTAATATTATATAAATAATATATATATATATATATATATATATGTATATATATATATATATATATTAATTTGGGAATATGAACAAACAACACTCTTTGTTGCACTAAGTTATTAAATAATAATTTTTACAAACGTTTCGAGACTAGGTTTGTCTCATCATCAGTGTGTTATAATTTAAAATTTAAAATATGGAAATCTAAATTAGCGTTATGTGTTATCCGTTACAAGTCGTTCGATATACTGTCTTCTGCCCCACCAACGATCGTCGGTGTCCGAATCCTCTATTCAATTTCAAGTGGTTTTCAAGTGGTTAGTCACGCAATATCAGATAGAAAAGGAAGGATTAGGGTCCAGTTGAAAGATAGATATCGTTAGGAATAAAAATATTCTATGAAATGAGACGGATGTTTATAAAATTTGTTTTAAATTATTATAATTTAAAATATATGTGTATTTATACACATATAAGTGATACGTGGAATCCATCAAAACTTCTCACTAATAAATAAGCATGGTTGCTTTATTTGCTTGATCACAAACGTATCGAAATTAAACTTGTGCCTTCATATCCCCAAATACAAATAAAAAAGTCGTCCATATTTCTTCCAATAATTCAACTTTTTCAACGCTTATAAAATCATATAATATCCGAACACCTGGTCTTAAAACTCCTCTTGATTTGATTAATTACCCACCATCGACCATTAGCAAGTACCGGAAAGAAATTGGCAAACCCGAATAGCCTTTTGAGGGTAATACTGACCTAGAAATGAAATTTGCGGCCGGTCTGAGAATAAGTGAGGATAACAGAAAATGGAATCGTGACGTCGAAATAAGGAATTATGCACCTGCTACCTTTAGGCTTAACCTATCTCATATTTGCTCAAATTACTTGCGGGCTACAATAAATTGGGTTTTTAATTGGTTTAATGGGATTACCTGATGGCGTAAAAACTAAAATCTTGAATTGCTTCCTATAAATGATGCTTGCATTTTTTACTGAATGTTCAATTAAATATTAACGCTGACACTGAATATATTCTCTAGTTTATTTTTTCAAGAACTGATATTAGTATGAAACTAATAACACATATTTAGAACGTTATAAAATAGTTGAGTGGATATTACTTCACGTTTCTTATGATTTAATTTATCTATTTTTACTACTTCTAATATATTAATATTGTTTTTGCACTAGTTCCAATTGAATTATACTAATAAAAAACTAGAAGATAAAAAATTCGTAACAGAGATTTGCAACTTTAGTGCGGTAATTGATTTTATTCTGGAGTGTATTATAGGTGGATTTTGCTTTTATTCAGATTAGCATACTTTCGCAATAAGTAGTTTTTTTTAATTTTTATATTCAAAAATATAAATATGCATGATAATTATATTTGCTATTCACAATAAGAGTTGTTATAAACTATTTTGGTGTTCATAGCTATTGTTTTAGAACCTATTTTGATGCCTTTCACAACCGTCCTGGGGGAGTGGACTGTTGTGCCTCTCGCCCTTTTTTGTATGATTTAATTTTATGACTAATCCGTCGTATTTAATGACAGTATTTCACTATTTCCTCGTAGACAAATGTTGAAATTACTATTTAAGTTAGGCTCTTCTCCCATGTAACTGGAAAATTAACATTTTTTTTCTATACAAAAAAATCCAATCTTCCCGTAGGGTAAGTTATTGTAATGGGCCGAAAATCGAAATTGAAAATTTTTACATTTCTCGACGTTTTGAAGGTTTCTGAACATTTTGGCATACCTCAGAAAAAATGGATGTGTGTGTGTGTGTATGTATGGATACAAATTTCCAGTCACGTTTTCGGGCGCACGCATCAACCGATTTAATTGTTCAAAAAACATTCGATTCCTATTGATAGGGAGATGTGCTGATTAGTTTTGGGCAAAGGCAGGTCCAGCAGTTACGGAGATAAAGAGCAAAAAGTGCAGAAAATAGAAATAGGGTTTTTGAGAGAACGGAGCATCCGATTTGAATGTTCTGAAAAAACATTCAATTAGTAATGATTGGTAGAAGTGTTTATCAGATTTTGGCAAAGGCAGGCCCAGCCATTTCGAAGATACGGAGCTGAATGTGCAAAAAATGGCAGTTTTTGAGAGAACTAAGCGTCCGATTTAAAAGATTCAAAGAACTTTCTGCGTGACTTAACAAACATTTTTTCAACTTTTTTTTTTTTTCAAAAAAATTTTTTTTTTGTATATCAAAAATAATTCAGATTTTTTTTCTAATTTTGACTAAAGTTCTAATATACTTTGAACAAATAATTTAAACTTTGCAATTCAGTGTATATAATTCTTATAAATATTAGACAATGCTACAATATTTATAATAATCTATTTGAAAACATTCAGTATTCCTCGAACATTTCGTTACGGTACGGGAAGTTCCAGCAATTTGCCTTAAGGCACGATGCCATACACCCAACTAGTTTTAATTTTATATCTTCTTGATGACTCGAATACCTATGGTTGTTATTTTACAAGTAGATCTGTTCCGATTTATTAAACACGCCTAAAAGTTAATGAATAGACTTTTAGCCGTTTACCCAATAAATCCATTTTTAGTCGAATAACGATTGTTCAATATAAACGTGTTCCACTTCCAAACTTCGTCATTGTCGAATTGGCCATTTTGCCGAACAAATATTTAACGATTTATCCATAATTCATTCAACGTACTCAAACTGCGCGCGGTCCATGCATATTTAACATACGTTGACACACATGTGCGGTACTATATCACCTGTCTGTGCATAAAATTTATATACAGAGAATCCAACCGAAACCTTTTGAAGTTTTGAAACTTTATTAGAATGGCGCTAATATAATTACAAATTTACGCGAACACAAAGGTATTGATAAATGATTCATCTATAGTTCGCCACAAGCATTGTAGCAATTGACTAATTGCGGTCACAAATATCACCGTATTTGGAACGTATGATTTCCAAATTACGAATGATTCAGTCGGCTGTTTACCTGTTTTGGAACGTTTGTGGCCAAACATTGAATACGCACATTGACTAGTTCGCCGGCAACCATCCGAATTGTAGGGATGAGAATTGGAGCCAGCTGGGAGAGATGGTACGGTAAATACATGGCTAAGTTAATTAAAGCACGAGCGCGCGATCAGTGATTGGTTCCGATGTCCGTGGAATTACATCGGACACAGAATACATAATCGAACATGATTCTCTGTCCGTAGCAGTTAACGATTTTGACATATTGTAACACTTGTTTAGAACGATCGCCATTCAATAGTGCATTCTGATCAAGGGTATTCCACCGATATTCACGGTAAACTAATCACTAATACCTTACCAAAAGCTCTTTATAGTGCTCAATTGATGCGTGTGCTGCATTAGGAACATACATCTTCTGTAATTTATATTATTATCAAAATTTGTTTTTTTCATTAAATGAACAAGAGTTTTTAAATTCTTAGTACATTATGCTAAAGAAAAATCTTTATGATTTCATGATTTATGAGCCATGAATTATATTCCGTATACTATACTTATTATAACTATAATTTCAAAAAATTTGCTTAATTTGTCAATAGTTTCTTCAATGTTTTTTTTTCAAAATGAAACTTTTCTGCACCATTCAAACTTATCAGACATGTTTATTGTAACTAGTCAGACGTAGTTATGCAGGTAACTATGATTTTCAATAATTTTCTTATATTTCAATAGTTCCTTCAATGTTTTCAAAATCAATCGTCCGCTGCTCCTTGTCAAACATGTTTTAAACACAAATGCAAATATATTTAAAATACAATATTTGATGAAGATAATCTTGACAATTCTAATGATATATAAAATATTTAAAAAAAATCTAAATCGCAACTAGAGGTCCCAGAACTCAACAACGAGCCGAAATGGGTTGTTAATATTGACCGCAAGTGTCTTGAAAAAAAAAAATTCTTGAGTTGAATAAAAACTATCAAAAAATCGTGCAATTTGGTTTTTTATTTTTGTACTCATTTTTTTTTATTATTTATTATTAGTCAGTATTATAAGATAGTATTATACTATTATAATACTGACTAGATGCGCCAACATTTTGAAACACACTTTTTTTCAAAGAAGGACCTCACAAAATACATCGATTTTGAAAATTGTGTTATTCAAGTCAACAAAAAGGTTTAATTCTTAAAATTGAGATATTTGTGGATTAGTTTCAACTGTAGTCTTGTGTGTATTTCACGGTTCGGTTTCAAAGTTTAGATGAACAAAATTAATAAAAACTAC